TCCGGGATCTGAATGTTGAGCTCATCACAGACGGTGGGGCTGTGTTGATGGCTGCCGTATCCTCGCAGTTATTGTGGTTATCGGAGAGTGAGCCGCCTTCATCAGCCACAGTGTGGCTGGAGGCAGGAGTGTCGAAAAAATATTCTGAATTGCATTTTGTTTTCGCCGCATCGCTAAATTTACTGTTTACAATGGCATTGTTGAAATCAGTAATCTTCAATCGTACCTAACAAAAGATGTCTTATGATGTTACGAATTACTTTTTGTCGTGATAAATCTTTGATCTCCAAAATTATGATAGGCTCATTTACCATTCTAGAGCTATAGGTATAACACATGTGATACCCATGTGTGACCTGTGGTAAGCGGTGGCGGAGTTTCATTCGACGGGGCGGACGGGTCGTGTTTGGAACGGGCCGCACACATGCGGGGTCGTCTCTCACAGCCGATGACAGCCAATGGCCGGCGCTAATTAGCTGGGTTATCTACACTGCTGTGTGCTGGTTCTAATAACGGCGCTAACATCTAGTAATGTCGGTGGTAATAGCCCGGCATGGCGAACACAGTGCGGGAGCGGTCGATAGTGGTGATTCATTGTGGAACTGTATGTACACATCGAATAGCAACCGGAGCTACCGGCCGACTACTGACTGCGGACTGTTACCTTTATGATTGCATACACACGTGAACTCAGTGACAATGATTGGTTACAAGGTGATCCACCTAAAAAGCATCGTAAGCAAACTCAGACAGTCATATCGTTGCCGTAATCGAGGCTTATAATAGCTCAGCGAAATTACCAGCAACCCTCTTTTTGTGTGTCAAAGTTCATTCCAAGTTCAATGAGACACAGCGCATAATTACTTGGCGAACAGACATTCATTATCACTCATTAAAGTTAACGGCACTCCTTAACAATTTGAGAGGCCCGTACCCAGCGCCAGGGGTGAGGAGACGCCCGCTTGTGACCTGTGTCAGGCGACCAGAGGCTGTGGCCGATCCGTGACCGTCAGGGGACGGCTCAGGGGACGGCGGGTCATAACCGCTGATTGGCATAACCAGTCGCCCCCGTCCTACCCGCGGCCAGATATTAGTGTCAACACGCCATGGCCGTTTCTTGTTCTGCAGAAGCACTGTGTGACGCAGGCGGTGTTATTTCCGCGATGCTGATTGGCTATCGATTCAAACGACCTGCCGACTTGGCGGCGCCCATTCACAGCTCGGTGCTGGTAAAAGAACGGCGGGCTGGTGAATGTTGACACTGGTAGCCGCGATACTCAATAGATGCTTTGCTGACTCAACGCTTCAATGCTTAACGCAATATGTTTTATGAATGACTGAATGGCGTACATATCTGAATGCATAGAGAAACCGAGCATATAGCAGCACACGCTGCTTATGCCAAAATAGACGTTTGCTTGAAAATAAAACATACAAAAACATTAAAAACATTTAAGAAATCATCGGTTTGCTCTATGAGTGAACCAAGCCGTACAAGTGTAAATAAGTGTTTCTTTCCCACATGCTGACAATGAAAGGAATGAGATGCTTAATTCACTTTGCCTATCATGGAGCACTATTTATACCTACCCACCCTTAATGCCCAGTAGAATGTTCTGGCTTCAGTTTCGTAACTGGCAGTTTATTACTTGAACATTCAGGATTGCCCAACAATTAGTGACTAAGAACGAACAACTAACGGGTACGATTTGAATGCATCAGCTGATGAGTGAAGTTCCTTCTCGTCATTTGTTTCAACAGCTAGCTAATTCAACTATCTCGCCGGTCATCCTTTCAGCCTTTACTACCGTCTCCTCATATGTCAGCCCACTTTCCGGGCACATGCTCCGCCACCTTGTGTCTCGATGTCCCCGTCGGCTGTCATCGGACCGTGTTTTATTTGGCCACTCTCCAGCCGCCGCACTGTCAGTGCCGGCCTCTGACTCCGACTCTGACTCGGCGCCCTCCGGTGACCTCTGACCGTCCGAGTCACCTTATCACCCCCCGGCGGCGCCCTTATTGAATCCACAGCACTACAGGCACCAGTATTGAACTACTATTTGAATACAGATTCGGTGTCGGCCGGCGTCGGCGGCAGTTGGCCGCGCTGAAACGAGTCAAGTTGGCCGGTAAATCGGGCCGGCGCCGCGGCCCGATGGCTCTCCACGGCCGCCCAGGGAGCCGTTGGAAATCATCTGGCCGCGGGTCGCCGGGCGCGCGAATAACCAGCAGCCGTGTAACACGGCCCTGAGGACGGCTTGGTGCGGCGGCACAGAGCGGCACAGCACGTCAACTGGCCGCCCGGCGCCGTCTGCCGCCCCCGCCTCCGCCCCGCCCCGAAAACACGCCGGCCTGCCGCTCTTTATGGACTCGGGCCGCGTGATAAAATGGCGACATAAACTGAATTGAAGATGAAGGAAGGGATTTAATCAGAATCGCGATGCCGCCGCCAGGTTATACGATGCTGCCGGCCGGTCGTGCCGGTCCGAGACGGCCGGCGTCGCTGCAGACGCGCCGACGACGACGATGGCACGAGCCTTTTACGAGATTAACATCTCAAAAAGCGCCGCTCGCCGGCTCGGGCCGACGGGCCAATGGGTCGGCATTGTCGACTGTAGTGGCGACAGAGCGCCGCAGGTCGCCGGAGCCGGCTCTGTGATGCTGTGTCGCCGAGCAGAGGTCGACCTGGAGACGGCGTGTGTCGTAAACGGGACTACGGCGCCGGATCAGCCACGCCTGGCAAATAGGCGCCGCGAGCTGGTCGGCCGGCGAATGGCCCGACCCATACGGTGACAGCTATCATCGCGGTACTGAGCCGGGGGCTCGGCGTCTCGGCGTCCCGGCGGTGCTGCCGAGCGTCCCTACAGGCCGACTAACTGGCGGCGGTGACGGTAAACAGCCGGTGGGCCGTAGCCACCGCCAGAGGGTCGCCGTGGGGGAGGCGCTCGTGAACGTGGGTGATATTGATAATGGGGTGCGATGTTCATAGATCGAAATGATGACAATGGATATCATATTGGAGATCAAGTTCAACCCATGTCAGAGCTATAAATAAGCGGCATGGATCATTGGATATGCTAATGCTGAATATGAACCAGTCATATTATTGAGAGAAAAAAAAAACTTTAAATGCCGAGTTGTTGAAATTCAGTTTACGATTTTATGAGCGATTCTCCTCTCCCGTCCCAATTACGAAATGAACGTGAATCAACGACCTGTTTCAGTCTTTCTTTACGGCAGCCCAAAGGTTTCGATTGTGTTATGCTTTGATAAAATGTTTCAGATATTTTCAGGATAACAAAATGTGACTATGGTAGGTAAAGCATTGAAATTGAACGTCTTTTCTAAGCTTACTAAGTTAACCCGCGCCCTGCTGGGGGTCCTGGATTTCCACGCCCTGCTGGGGGGGGGGTGTTTGAACACCCCCCCTTGTAACTCGGCTCCTGGGCCACGTAGCGATACGCGGAAGGCGGCGTTCGAAAGAGCGTAAAAAATAATGACGAAATCACTTCGGTCAATTTTTTGGTCAGGTCAAAGGTCAGGTCACCAGAGGTCATTGAAGGCAAAATTTCGCCGATTTCCAGGTCGAATGTCGAAAATTTCCAAGAAGCCAACGCATAACTCGGGAACCAATAGAGCTACAGCGCCGCGGAAAAGCGCATTCGATAGCCCTATTAACGCCCTTTCTGAGTAATTCTCTCAGATTTGACCTAACGTCAACGGTTTTGCCTGCAGGGGGCAAAAACTGCAAAAATAACCGATTTTTTCGAAAACAGTTTTTCTGCAATAACTTTTGACCCAAGCCTTGTACGAGCTTACTTTTACCGGCGTCGTGTTCCTCTCGTCAAGACGCATCGAATGAACTATAACTTGACCTTGAAAGGTCAACTTGAAAATTTGACCTCAGGTCAAGGTCATGACCTGACCGGAAAGGGTCATGTTGCATATCAGTCGATCCGTATCGTCGAGCTGAACACATCTAAGGCGTTTTCATCGCTCTAGCATGCCTCTATCAAAAGTTATTTGCGAAAAACTGTTAGATACCATTCGTGACCTAAGATGACCTCAGGGCATAAACAAGGGTCACGGACACCATTTTCAAGTTCAGTGTGTCTAAACCACTTGTAATTCGGTGTTTGGGAGTGTTTATAATGTCAATCATCCAAAAGAGGCGCATTTCAATTTTCTCCCATTGACTTATAATGGGGAGGTCGCAAAATTGACCTGACCTTAGGTCATCGATATCAAAATTCTGAGATATACATTTTGTACATGCTATTGCTCTTAGCAATCGCTGAAAGTTTCAAAGCGATCGGTCACTCGGTGTAGCTATGACAGACATTGAAAGTTTTTATGAGGTGAGGTCACTTCAAGTGACCTGGTGACCTGACCTTGAATGACCTTGGTCTGAAATTTTCACAACATGTGTAGAATTGATTATGATAAGGTGTACCAAAAACGGCGGCGCTCCGCGCCGCCGTTTTTGAGATATTCGCGAAAAACCACAAGGGGGGGTGTTCAAACACCCCCCCCCCCAGCAGGGCGCGGGTTAAACGTCTATCACAAAATATTTACAGCAGGAGCGAATCACCCGTTTAATTTGTCCTAAGGGAACCATTCGGACCATCTTAATGGCCGGTCTGACTGAGTGTCTGTTGGCACCGGCGCCTCCCTCAGGCCTTCCTGGCTCCGTGGACATTTAGTTAGTTGCGTACACTGGCTGCCTACACTTGACTTGAAGGGCGAAGGCAGTTCCTGTAGGGAGTCTTCCGATCAATCGTCGTGTCAGATGACAGACAAGATACCTATTGATGCGAACAAATAAAAGGCCCAATCACAAAGACGAACGCACAGACATTGAATTTACATTACTGTAGGGCACTTATTGGCCGTTTGTTCATTAGCCTGCGCACGCAAGAGCCCAATTAGGTACAGGTGCAGTTAAGTTATCCGTTACATTGTGCGTACGTTTTCACACTCGCCTTATGTCTTCTGCACAGGATGAGCGAGCAGCAGCCGAAGATCACCCGCTCGCCGCTGTGCAGTCGGTGTCGCAACCACGGCATCAAGATCAGCCTCAGGGGACACAAACGCTTCTGCGGCTACAAGGTGAGCCTGTGACCGCCCGGTCCGCGCTTTGACCTTAAACTGTCTTCGGTGCCTCGGCCGATCAGCGTAGAGCTCCGCCGCAGGGTTCATCCCAGGCGGCTCCGTCCAGCACTACGTGGGACAGTGAATGAGGCTTTTAATCCGTTAACCGACGTTCTAGACGTTCCATTGGGAGTTATTTTGTAGTTAGTAGGCCTATGTTAAAACAAACCTGACCCATTTTTGAGGAAGGCTACTTTATAGGCTTGTATAATGCCTGCAAGACAAAGTATTGCACCAGGTTGCCTCATACCACAACAAATACAATGATGCGATTGCGACCTTTGGTATAACAAACCTACCCAGAACCGTAACACATGACTACATACGACCACCATCATTGCACCGTGCACGTCAGCGCTCCCGTTTTGCCGAATGCATTATACATTGTACGCAGTGCACTGGCTTGATGATACAGTATACCGCCGGTTTACGAGTGCATGATGACCTACGCGTCTGTGGCGCCAAATTTACTACAGCTGTAAATTATGCTACAGTATGGCTCACTGGTCTGGTCTCGTGCACACCGCGCAGGCTGCATTAAATGTAACAGTAGCTACAAACAGATCATAGAGGGACAGGCGGTGTCAGTGGGCGCCAGCGTGGACCCAGAGACACTGCTCATCAGCCGTTAACCCGCGCCCCACTGGGGTCTGTGTATAACACGCCCTACTGGGGGGGGGGGGGCTATTCATAGCCCCCCCCCTCCTAACTCCGAAACTACTGGGCCGATCGTCAAAATTCAAACGGCGTCTGATAGCCCCGGAAAAACTGTCGAGCGAAACCTAATTTCATTGACCTCGAGGTCACCGATGACGTCACAGGTCAGGTCAAAGTAAAAATTATTAGCACTTTGGCTTGTTCACATTTTGGGCTCTGGCCGCCGTCTTACAAGTCAGATCAGGCTCATTTTTGGTATCCACACTCGTGAACAGATGCTCTAGATACCTTGAGGGTACCAAACTTGTACTTTGATTTTCAGGTCAGGGTCAGGTCATCACAGGTCACGAAAATATTATATCATGCGTCGGTCACGTGACACATGTTTTATGGTCCATTTAGGCCATAGATTTCGAATTTGATGTCGTCTGTGTCATTCAAGGTCATTTTGAGTCGAAATTAGCTTAGGTCAGGTCACTTTCAGGTCAAAAAAGGTCAAATTTTGAAGTTGTAATTTTTCAACAAAAAAGGTGTCTATTTGATGCAGTTTGAGCTCAGGAACACGATGGTGCCATTTATATTGGTGTACGATGCCAAATACGTACTGAAAAATTGATTTGAAAAATTAATAATTGTGAATTTTTTGCAATAATGCGTATAACTTGGCCATTTTTGAAGATATTTAGCTAAAACTTGCTAGAGTTAGTCATAATCATGCGTTCTGTCACATATATTCCGGTTTTTTCGAAAAGTCAAAAACTTTTTGAAAAAAATATAAAAATATAAATTTTGAATATTATTATATAAAATTTTCGAAATTTTCAAAATTTTGAAAATCCGAGATAACAGTTTGATAGCGCGGTCAATTCTGAGTTCTTTCATGCAAAGAAATTGGATCTAGCTTAAAAACTGAGCTCTTGGGAGCGATTGCCGTGGTTCAATGTTTTGCGTCGAAATCGGACGAACATGACGTCACTCTGACGTCATTTCCGGCCGACCTGTGGTAGCTACGAAGTTCAAATTTTGACACAAGGTGTCAAATTGATGCAGCCGAAGGTACTGAAAGTTTGGCGTCGATTCGTCAAGCGGTTTGGAAGTTATTGCAGAAAAACGGGAGGGGGGCTATAAATAGCCCCCCCCCCCCCAGTGGGGCGCGGGTTAATGCCGGGTCCGCGCCACAGGCAAACATTCGGTATGTAGTCATTTTCAACTCAGCAATATACTATTGTGAGAAAAAAACATTCATTGTAGGGTTATAACGGAATGTTACTTTGTACTTTTCCATAACTCGATTAATGACTTCCTTGGATTTCGTGATCCCATCAGGAGTGCCTGTGTGATAAGTGCGCTCTGGTGAAGGCCCGCCAGCGCGTGATGGCTCGCCAGGTAGCGCTGAGGCGCGCACAAGAGCACGAGGAGGTCCGCGGACAGGCGACTGTGTTTCCGCCGGTGCTGCCCTCCGACGGCGACCGAGAAAGCTCAGCTTCGCCGGCCGGCCGTCCCACGTCCAGTGAGTAGCAAACTACAGACATGTTTTACGTCAGTTTTGAGCATTTAAGCAATATTTTCAATATTCCTTTGTAATGGCCATAGCCCAGCCGAGTTGCTGTGGGCCTGCTCCATTTCTGTTTCCGTCATTTCTCTCACAACTGTGATATCTATAAGCTCGAGGTCCGGTGTCACATTCCTCCCCACCCGCCCCCGCCAGGTCCGACCCCGAGCGGCGCAGCTGCCACCGGCGGCTCTCCCTCCGCCGCCCCCGCCTCCACCCCTACCCCGGCCGCCGGGCCCGGCGCACCGTTCGCCTCCGGTCACTGGCTGCACCAGCTGCTGCACATGCCGGAGGAGGCGCTACACATCCTGCACAGTGTCATCAGGGAGAGCGGCAGCCAGCAGGAGGCGGCCGTGCGACTCATCGCCAGAGGTGAGGGCCAGGGGCGACGGAGGTAGTTACCGGGGACGGAGCATGCAACGCTACAGTGGTGTTGACGGGGCAGGGAGGGCTTTTCAATAGCTAAGGGCCTAAAGGATATCTATGAAGTGATGGGCCATATCTTGCCTACCTATGTTTTGTTTTGGGGAAATGACATTGCGGTATGATGGTGCCATTGAGTTGTTTAGGTATCGTGCTGTTCTACAGAATATCCAGCGCGGAGTCTCACTGTTCGTTTTTTTTTGTCCCGCAGCCAGCGGAGAGGCGGCACCGCCAGTCGTCAGTGAGCTGCCCCCTCCGCCGCCGCCGCCGCCGCCACCGGCCCCTCCGGCAGCAGCGGCGCGGCCGTCGTCGCCGCTGGGGCCGCCGCCGCTGGCGCCCCTGCTGCCGCCCTGGTACGGCCCGCCCCTGGTACCGTACATCCCGCCGGCACTGCTGCCCACCTTCAGCCGACTGCACCAGCTGTACCTGGCGCGTACCACCGCCCCGTGACCTGACCCGGGTCACTCTGTGACCTGAACCAGTGGTCAGGACCCAGTGCAGATGTTTCATGACCTACACCGGGTCAATGTAGAATAGCAACCTGATCCGAACCACCGCTCCGTGGCCTGACCTGGGTCACTGTGACCTGGACTGGCACAGTGCAGATGCCCCGAGACCTGGACGGTGTCGATGCACGTGCCCCGTGGCCTGACTCAATTCAGTACAGATGACCTGTGAGCGGGCCTGGATCATGGTTTCGGGTCTGCCCCTGGGCTAGTTCAGGGGTGATTATTAGGTTTTCACTGTCATGCGGGCTGATTTCGTGATGCATGGAAGCGCATCGCCGTCGTTATTGATTTTTAACTGGAAGGTATACTATCCCGCAATGATCGACTGCTGTGCGGCGCAGCCTACCTTCTGTAAGGACTGCGTGATATTGTGAATGGCGACGTGGTTCCCTCATCCCTGGGACGTTCGTAATTATTCTCGACGGACTTACTCGATTCTCAGTCATTGCTGTTATCTGGTCTAGTGCTTTGTATGAGCGGGTGTTTTACACGACTGATGGATGTTGTTAGAAATATGTCAAGTGATGTATTGAATGTCATTACCGGTTGAAGGTATTATGGTTTGTGGTCATCTCAGTATTGCGATCAAATCTCGCCGAACCCCTAACATTTTGTCAGGTTTCTTATCATGATAAAGTAGAGGCAATCTGTTATTGGATCGTCCATGTTTCAGCTACTTCTAACACTTTTTGTTCATAGAAGGTGCCTGTGATTCTGCGATGTCTGTTTAGATCTGTGATGTTTGTGAAAAATGTACGCATGCGATAGTGACAATTGACAAAAATCCCTTAACAGCGCACGTGTGCAACGAACATAGAAGGATGCAAGAGTCTATCACTATCCAACACACAGTTCTCATTTGTGCTGAAGATAGCAATGCTGAGTGTGCTGTTTAGCCAGTGACAGCGTATATTTGGAATATTGGGTGACGAGAAATGCAGAGTGCATCACGAATGCTTGGTGGGCCCGTCAGGGTGGCGATTGTTTGTGGTATTTGATGTTCAACCGGTGTCGTGTACATAAATACACACGTTATCTCCTTTTCAGACATAGTTGTCTTAAATAGTGTCCAACTTCGAACATGGTGAATGACACTATAAAATATGCGAAGTTTATACACAAGTTTATAACCACACACGTATGTTATATAAACTTATCAACACGGTTGACGCCGTACATGACACGGACATGAAGTGACAAACTCGAAAAAGCATAAAGAAAGCATGTTGAAAGATATATTTGTATTTGAATTGGACATCGTTTAGCCGTTGGACATCCTTTCTAGCCATGTCCTATCCACCATCCAGAGCTTCTTACTCTTTGGCCGCTTCCCGGTCCTGCCCTCCCTGCACTAATGCTTTCTGTACGCAGATGTGCCTATGTGCTTATTCTTGTCCGAATTTCTGTTCACTTCTTCCCGCGGCCTGGCCATCAGAGCGTCACAGTGCGCACCTCGGTGGCCCGGTTCCACTCCTGCACCTGGTCAGTGCCGTTTGTCCTCTCCACCGAGAGCACCTCGCGGTCCCGCGAGCTCCGCACTCCTGCCGGCCCGACGGCGGGTCAGTGTCAGTGCCGTCATTCAGAGTGGCGTCATTCAGTCCAATGTCGCGGAGACGTGACTACTTAGTGGAACACGAAGGGAGCTTTGAGAAATATAGGCATGACTGAGGGGCTCGTACGTAAATGCCTCATCGAGGGTGTGAAAGAAGTTCTGAATTGCAAAGGCAAACACGATTACGTTAGGTCAGAGGTCATTACGTCAGGCCAGAGGTCACCAGAACGTAATCGTTTTTCTTGTGCATGGCAGAGTTGTTTTAACGTTTAAACGTAGTTTGAGCAAAAAAACTTAAACCAGCACACAGTTACACTGATGGAATATTCGTGCTCAGCCGCTCACCAATGCCAGTGGTGTTGAGGGTGCTGGCGGTAACCGTGGAGCCGATGCCGCGGCGCGCAGTGTCTACCGTCTGTGCCTGGCGCACGTCCTGCGCCGTCACGGAGATGAGCGGCAGCGCACCGCCGGGCGCCACCCGGGACCGAGTCGTCACGTCCTCCGTCACGGTCTCGATGTGGTCCGTGGTCTGATTCTGGCGGTCCGAACGGGTACTCTCTGCGGTGGGGTGATGGGTCCGTGTCACGGAACGGTTTACTAGCGGCAGCTGTGGTCGGAGGTCAAAACGATAAAAAAGGAGTTGTGAAATACTCGAACTATTACAGACCTGAAAGTCTATGGCAGTGTGGTAAAGAGTAGTGTATAACCAGGACTGCAGTTACAAATGTATACTTAACAGACACGACTGAAAATTGGTGTTAATGTCATACAGGGTGGGGCAGAAAGATTTACCTGTTTGTTTTTAGCCCACAACTCAAAAAGTTTTGGACGGATTTTAGTGAAATTTTGCATGCGGCTTCTCAACTGACTCGTGTATAATTGCTATGATCGTTTTTAATTTCGTCATGATTGTTGATGAGCTATGGCGGAGATTACAAAAAGAGCCCAAATGGCGGCGCCGATGCAGGCTGGCCACAGCGTCCGAAGCGTTCCAAAACAGCTCGGTGTTGCCATAAAAACTGTTAACAATCTAATGAAATGCCTTACAGGGACAGGTACAGTGTCGACGAAGCCCATCCCAGGCAGAACAAGACATGTCCGCACCAAAAGGCTGGTTGATATCGTTCACAAGATGGTGTCTCGAAATCCTTGGCAAAACATGAACAAACTGGCAAAGGACCTCGATTTTTCGCCCAAAACGATCAGGAGAATCATTAACGACGATTTGGGCCTTGATCCATACACGATGCAACGTCGACACCTAATTTCGGCGGTATCCAAGGAGAAACGGCTTCACATGGCCCAAAAGACATTGGAGGAAATCAGAAGCGCCGGTAGCAAGGTCTTCCACTGATCTGATAAAAAGATTTCCACGGTTGAGTCCCAGATGAGCTCTCAAGGCGACATAATCTTGGCAGATGGTACATCCAGCATTGTTCCTGCAATCCAGGCCAGTTTTGGTCGCCACAACCCTGCTGGTGTCGTGGTTTGAGCTGCCGTCGCATCCGACGGCTCAAAAGGACCCTTGATCTTCATCGAGGCGGGTGTGAAAGTCAGTTCACACGTTTATGTCCATCTGCTGGAGGAACATGCTCTGCCTTGGATCACTCAGTCGTTCCGAGACGGATACGTCGTCGTCCAGGACGTTGCGTCGTCTCAGACGGCCAACTTCACTCAACAGTGGTGCAAGACCCACATGCCTGGATTCTGGGACAAGGACATGTGGCCACCATCAAGTCCAGACCTGAACCCGATGGACTTCACCACCTGGGCCATCCTGGAGAGGGAGATGTGTGCAACACCACACAGCATCATCGCCGCTCTGAAGCTGGCACTCGAGACGGCATGGTCGAATTTCGACGAGGACACCGTGCGGCGCTCGCGCCTCTCCGCAGGGAGAGGTTTCGGGGCAGGTGTGAAGACCAAAGGTGGTCAAATTGGTTCATAGTGCCGTTGCTGCGATGTGTACATGTTACTGAATACGTGTACCAAAAATCATTTGAATATCTTCGTTCTGGGCCGAAATATTTTCAAAAATCAAGAGGTAAATCTTTCTGCCCCACCCTGTACAATCATCGGACCACACAAATCATATATATCGCATAGAGCAACGTTTGAACGCCCCCAAGGCAGACATTTCACACTACACCGCAGTCCGGCGCACCACGCTCGCCTGACACTGACCTGTGAGATCGGATGTGGTGTTGCACCTGGCGCAGGCGGTCACCGTCCGGGAGGCGCCGCCGGAGCGCTCGCCGTCCACCCTCGCGCGGTCCACCACCGAGCCGGACTTGATCTCCGTGGTGGAGAGCTCCACGCTCCCTGAAGGTGGGGCGGGGTGGCAGAGGTCGGTGACAGGACTGGGGACGATGAGATCACTAGTGACGGCATTGTAGAAATGGAGTGAGCCATAGACAATGGTACTGGATACACGCTACATTGAAAGCTATATTAAAACTCCTTGGTTTACTAGGATGCAACGAGAACTAAGGCACCTTTCCGTACCCCGAGCCGTACCCCGAGCCGGTTTCCCATAAAAATATGGACGTCTGTACCATCACCGGTATCTCTTTAACTCGGTGGCCCGTATTTACTGATGCGCGGGTCGATGTCCGAACTGCCACCCTGAGGGGGAGCCAACAGTTCGGCGGCCCTTATCTCGGCTCTATAGAGGTCATGGACCGTACAAAGCTCCAAACGAGTCCCAGCGGTGACGGGAGAGACGCCGGTATGATGGCTCTGATATGGGGCACTCGTGCTACACGCATCACACGCACCTCCCGCCATTGTTTCTAACGCAAACCACGCATCAATCGACTTTTTGAATGCTGTTCTGGTCGCTCGTAAATAACGTCGCTTTAATGTTGCGGTAAACAAGCGATTTCGAAGTTATTACGCTCCGGAAGTGATGAAAAAAGTCGATTTTGATCGATATTGGGCATAAATGAACCCAAGTCTGCTACTCCACTCAGCTACAAAAATTAAACGTCTGTATAACTCGCGCCATCAGCACGTACCCAGCTCCCGGTCCTCGGTGGCGAAGGCGGTGTCTCGGATGTTGGAGTCGTTCCTGGCGCCGGTCCGCTCGGCCTGCGTCCTCAAAGCTGCCTCAGTGGAGGAACTGCGAGTCCGGTCACCAGCTGACAAACGTAAATAACACAGGTGGCAGAAGGTTACTAACGGCTTCAACGGAGTTTCACAGTATAGTTAGGCAAGGCTGTCGTGACAGATCACACAGGGTTCAGAGGCGCAGCTGGTTACCAGCGGATTTATCCGAGATATTATACAACGAGATGTGTAGTACAATTAGGGCAGATTTGGCGGGGAGTTAACATCATAACTTAACAGCCAGAACAACACGAATGACTGGGAAAGTGAAAATGCTCGTCGAAACCGATTATTCGCAAGTTGTGCTAAGGTTGGTACACTCGGGGGCAGATTGATGTTCCACAACTCCTTATCCACCGGGTTCCTATGGCTCAGCATTGGCAGCAGCCGCCTGGTACCGGTAGACTGTGCCGCTTCACTTACTTGTCAAGCGGCACAGCCTACCCACACCGTATGCCACCGGTCTGGGTCGGTGGCTGTAAGGCGATGTGGGCCGCCTGTGACGTCAGCGCAGCGGTGAGGGCCGAGCCCGGAGGCATGGCTCGGGTCGGCGCGGCGCGGCGGCTGGCGAGGGCTGGGGAGTGAGGTGGGGTGGGAGCACGGACCATCGCGCGGCTGAGCGAGTGTAGTTAACTTTCGCGTCTCAAGGCGCCAATTATTCCACCTAACAATTGTGCTAAAGCAGTTGTTAAAATGTCCTATCCCCAAGACAGCGCCTATCATCATACTTGCCATGCACATTACGACACACTTAAACGTGACATTGGGACAGCCGATAAAATTTATATCACACGTGCATCGAGTTGCGGAGCTACATTGTTTTTAACAGATATGTATTAAGGCCTTGATTGAGCTCATTGGTGTCTATTATTTCGCACAGCAATCGTCCAGAGACGTGGGAACTGGGGTTTTTGGATAGCGCGGCGTCCCAAAGCAACTCTTATGTTCCTCTAATGTGTGGTCGCAGCCACCAATAGCAAACCGTTCCATCTAGGAACAAATAAGTCGCGCACCCGGGACGGTTCGAACCAGGTTTCTCCAACCGGTCACCCCACGACGCTAGCGTGTATCCACTGAGCTGCCGAAACCAGCGACCACCCGCCGCGGTCAAACGCGATCAAATGTCACAATACTGTCATTGGCGGTCAGCGGGTGAATGTCATTTTGTTTTGTGCGGACGAGGACCGTTCTCGGTAGCTCAGTGGATAAACGCTCGTGTCGTGAATTGGCCGGTGGGAGAAGCCCAGTTCGAGCCCCCCTGAGTGGCCGACTTTTTGGCCCCATTTGGAACGGTTTGCTATTGGAGGCTGCGACCACATATTAGAGCAACAGTAATAATCGCTTTAAATTGGAGCGTTGGCTGCGGCACTACTCATAACCCCCAGTTCCCACGTCTCTGGACGATTGCCGTGCGAAACAATAGACACCAATCTGCTCGATCAAGGCCTTAATACTAATATGTTATACAAAATATAGCTCCGCACCTTGATGCACGTGTGATATAAATTTTATCGGCTGTCCCAATGTCACGTTTAAGTGTGTCGTAATGTGCATGGCAAGTATGATGATAGGCGCTGTCTTGGGGATAGGACATTTTAACAACTGCTTTAGCACAATTGTTAGGTGGAATAATTGGCGCCTTGAGACGTGAAAGTTAACTACACTCGCTCAGCCGCGCGATGGTCCGTGCTCCCACCCCACCTCACTCCCCAGCCCTCGCCAGCCGCCGCGCCGCGCCGACCCGAGCCATGCCTCCGGGCTCGGCCCTCACCGCTGCGCTGACGTCACAGGCGGCCCACATCGCCTTCCAGCCACCGACCCAGACCGGTGTCATACAGGTGGGTAGGCTGTGCCGCTTGACAAGTAAGTGAAGCGGCACAGTCTACCGGTACCAGGCGGCTGCTGCCAATGCTGAGCCATAGGAACCCGGTGGATAAAGAGTTGTGGAACATCAATCTGCCCCCGAGTGTATCATCATCCCATCCTCTCCCTCCTCTTCATCACGGTCCTCTCTTTCGCTCCTCTCACCGGCCGTGCGCAGGTTGGTATTATCATCCGTCCTCTCCACGGTGGTCGTAAACACGCTCTCCTGGCCGATCTGAGAGATGTTCCTGTCACTGGCTGTGAGCGAGGCATTGCCGTCCTGGGGACTCCGCAGTCCAGGCAGCACTTCTGTGAAGCAGAGACGCGCAGAGGAATAGTCAGTCAGATGCTGATTACTGTAGACGTAAGCGGCGGTGGTTAAAGTGAACCGTGGAGTCTAACATTGTAAATCAAAAGGCAACGCTATCGCGAGAGTATAGCTGTGCTGGCGAGTGGTGATGAATACTTGGTGATTTGGTGATTATCCCGCCAACGACGTTTGGTGTGAATTGTATGCTGGTGTTTGGTGTCTGACGTCCTGTGCAGGGGTCGGTCACTGGTCAGTATTCGGTATGCTTGTGTGTGGTATTTGACTTGTGCCGGGGTAGGTCACTGACCTTTACCGGTATCAGGACCATATGTGGAAAATGGTACGGAACTGTGGGTGTTCGAGTACCGCAAATCCGCCGCCCCAGCGCGGGTGACCTTGGCCTCCGCCGTCTGTTGCGGCCCCAAAGCCAACCCGGCGCACAGGGGCGGTGGATTTGCATTGCCACAACACCCACGACTCCCTCCAATTCTCCAGCTATGATCAGGACTCGGTCACTGACCTGCGCGCCGGTCGCCAGTGGAGGAGGCCAGCCGGCGCACCTCCAGAGAGTCCTCCCTCCGGCTGACGACCGTGTCCCGGTCCTGGTTGACGTCTCTGTCCACCCGCCGAGTCCTCGATCCATCTGTTCGGAGGTCATGTCAAAACTCAATGCACGCCACAGTCCTGGCAACCATAAGGCACAGGGCAGGGCACAGGGCAGCGTGAAAAACTGAGATGCACGGAACATTGAGAACAGACCCTTGGCTTTAACCCTCGCCCTGGCAGGGCATTTTTCATAACACGGCCTGGCAGGGGGGGGGGGGGGTCGATGCGACCCCCCTCGCGATTGGCTCCTATGGCACCTAGAAACACCAAATTTGGTAGGTAGGTGGGCCCCATGGAGTTCTCGCCCTTGTGCAAATTTGGTTGCTCTAGGTCAATATTTAGGGGGGTTTGGGGGGGGGGGTATAAATGTAAAAATTTCGCTAAAAACAGGTCAAAAGTTTTTCGCTTATAACTTTTGATCTAATTAAGATAGAGCAAAACGAAAAGCACCAGTGAACTCAGCACGTCAAGGCGCGTCGAATGATATACTTTTTAGCTTGCTTAAGTGTACTTAAAGTTTTTCTTAAATTTTAAGTAAACTTAAATTTATAAATTAAGTTCATGTTAACCAAATTGCATCATATCGTATATCATTCGATTTGGCTGATCACCAGGAACACAATGATACCATTTTTTAAGCTCTAGCGTCATTATGTGCCAAGTTATTGGCAAAAACGTCATTTGACCTCAGTTGACCTCATTTGACCTGACCCATGGATAAGAACACCAAACAAAGAAGCAGCAAGTGACCTGCTGTTAAGTACTGTGGTTTCAAAGCACAAAAGTGATAGAACGAAGCGGATATCTCCAGTATTTTCCGAATTTAGTATTTTCCCATAGGCTTAACATTACGACGTAATGACCTCTAACTGACCTCAGGTCAGTGACCTCAAAAAACCCGAAGTATATGTTATACAACTCGGTGAACTTAGCACATCCTGAAAGTTTGAAGGAAATCAGTCCAAAACTGTGAGTTGGACAGGTGCAAAAAGAAAATTGAAATTTGACCATGACCTTGTACCGGTTTTTCTGACCTGGTGACCTGACCCAAGGTCACCCGGACCTGAAACTCTCAGGTCATATGTAAAAAGGTTGCCCCATAAGCTGTGCCAAATTTGGCGGCGCTGCGCGCCGCCGTTTTTACGCTAGCTTCGAAAAACCTTAGGGGGGGGGTCGCATCGACCCCCCCCCCTGCCAGGGCGAGGGTTAAAAGGAGTTGACAGTTCTTGATCATTTGAAGTAACTCATTCTATTTAATTGTCATTAATTCTTCTGTCACAACTCTAGTAAATACACTTCTTTCACTGGCAACAGCACCACTGAACATATTGAATAACAAGTCCGCCGAAGTCGATTCTACAAAAAAAATCGCTTCGCATCACACCGCTCACACCCTCTCGCCTTCGTTCCTCCCCGCTCACCCTGTTGTCCGTGTGTGAGGTTGGTGGTGAGCGCCCGCTGGTCCCGGTCGCTGATCTGCTGACTCGCTGAGCGGTTGGTGCGCGCAGCCTCTGTGATTGTGACGGCCGCCTCGATAGAAACCCCTCCGCGAGAGTTACCGTCTGCCGGGGGCGTCATCAGGAGAGTCATAGACGGGGCGTCGTAGACGGGGGCGTCACAGAGAGGGGCGTCACAGAGAGGGGCGTCACAAAGGGGGGCGTCACCAGCGGCCTCACGAGTCACGCACTAACACGATGGGGGCAATATCGATTGATACAGCTGATTACAGATGGAAAGAAGCAGTACCATTGTATGGAGCTATATTTAACAACCTGCCGAACCAGTGAAAAAGCGGACCAAACGAGCAAATCTAGCTCTGCAAAACAAACTGTATTGTTAAGTTTGTTCACTTTGTCATACAGTTCCTTCGCCTCTAAGCTCTCTTTTCCCCTCTGCCACCCTTCCCTCCTTCCCTTTCACCCCCTTCGCCTCTCCCTCGCCCACCCCACCCCTCTCTCCCTTCCCCTCGTCTCGGCGCGTGCCTCTCACCTGGCCCGATCTCGGAGGAGAGCCGCCGGTTCTCTCTGGCCACCTGCCTGCTCTGTCTGTCCCCCGAGACATCCGACAGCGTCCGGTTATCGACCGTTCTGATACCGGTCAGAGAGCTCTGGCCTGCACAAGTCAGCCAAGGTGACAGGTCAGGTCAGGTGACGATTCAGGACAGGCCATGCTGAACTCTGAAGTCAGGTCAGGTCACTTTCAGGCTAAATCATGGAGCTCCGTCAGGTTATACCAATACTCGAAGTTGGCTCACTTAAAGTTATTACAACTTAGTACTTAACCCAAATTTAACCCTCGCCGGCCGAGGGGGGGGGGGGCGGGTGCCGCCCCCCCCCCATAGGGTTTTTTCGCGATAGCTCCGAACACGCTGGCGATAGAGAGCTGAAACTTGGCATACCTGACCTTTGATCCAAGCCGCATCTTTTGCCACTAACCGCATTTTTGGGTCAGGTCAGGTCACTGACCTATGACGTCATAAGTGAACCTCTGCACGGTCTTCAGATGTCGCAACTTCGCAACGCCCTCACTGCCAGAGGAGATGTCACAGGGAAATGAAACTTGCAGGATCTAGTATCCATTATGAGTCCCACAACTTGTATATCTCGGATTTTTCCTAAAGGTCATATGAGGTCAGGTCATTTTCGTGACCTCACCATTATAAGTCAATGGGGAAAAATGAAAACTGCTATTCTGGCGCCGGGAACGATCTCCAACTATCTCAAGCACACGAAATCGTGATTTTATGCACTCCTTGCAAGGTTAGATCCGTCACTTTTGCAATGTTGACCTTGCGTGACGTCATTTATGACGTCATCAAGGTCACATTAGTTTTTCGTCAATAACTCTTGATCAAATTGAGCTAGCGAGTCGGGAAAGCCACCAATGGACTCAGGAAGACCTGCCGAATCGAATGATATGCGACATGACCTCTTTCGACCAACTTCGTGACCTGGGGGTGCTGACCTGACCTTGACCTGAGGTCAACACCCCAAGTTGACCTGACCCGGACAAAAAGTATACCATTCGACGCGCCTGAGCGAGACGAACACGATGCTGCCAAAATCGGCGCTCTGCGGCCGTTTTTTGCGAAGTTATTCACCAAAAACTGAACCGTACCTTGGGGCACTTGACCTGACCTCAGAGGTCACCGGTTGACCTAGGACCTTAAAATCGGGTACCAATCTCTGCGTCTCGTAACGGCGCACACGCTCGTTTTTTCCGCGACGCGCTAGCTCCACCAGGGGCGAAACGGCGAGGGGGGGTCGTACCCGCCCCCCCCCCCCCTCGGCCGGCGCGTATGTAGAAAACCAATAGGTCCGGCGAGGGTTAAGTTCAGGGAGCGCCCTGGAGAAAAGTAATGAAATATCACCACTAGATGACTTCAGACAAGCAGCCCCTGGAGGGCTCCAGCCCAGCGGTTTCTGAACGGTGCAGCCGTTCCCGCTCCTTCGGTATTTCCCGAACAGCGGTGACCCCTGCTGACCTCTGAGTGTTTGGTATGGGATGGATGGGTGAGGGACTGACCGATTTGCGTGCTGAGTCGCTCGGTGCGCCGACCTCGGTCCACCTGACCGACCGCAAACTGAGAGCCCGTCAGACGGTTCCGCATGCTCTGGATAGAGATAGACAGCGCTGGAAACAGAGACTGCATTAGTGTCAACTGGACCACGGACCACGGAAACAATCACAACAACTGAGTCGCACGAATCATGGTGCTGAATGACACAGCGGCATGTGTCAACTGTCCAAAACACAACAATGAAGTGGCACAAACCCGTAACCAAGCGAGACATTCTAACATATTAGAAATTATAATAGGACTTACTGAATAATCAGTAATCTTTTCTTTACTTTGAAGTTTTAGTTCACCATGAATTTAAATGAGTCATAGTCATCTGTATACAAAAGTCTATGAAGTGCATTGCGAACAAAGTCGACCCCAGAGCCGTTTCCGTTTTTATCTCCTAAGTGCAGTCCGCAGTCGTAGTGGGGCACTCACAGATAGTGTGGACGTTCATACAAGTCCTGTCGGCTACGCATCCCTCGCACGTATTCAGCTGAGCACAGCGACTCTTGAAGCTGTCGCCCGCACAGCCCCACTTCCTGTAGCTGAAACAGGCGGCGCGCCGGTGAAACAGAAGTGCAGCTTAGCGAGGCACATTTGTGGCAATGGAGAGTAATATATGTCAGAAAGGGGATTGTCGAAAACTGAAGATTAGAAAAGACGGTGTATATGAACATCGTAGAAGTAACAGCACTTCAAAAAGAGCTGAGACACATCCGTTTATGCTATGTTCCTCTACTTTCCACTATAACTTGATGTTTGCATATTATTTTCAGCAAATGCCATAAAAAGTTATACGCACGACAAGGCAATGCCACAAAACAAGGTTCGATAAAAGAGGCTGAACTCATCCAAAACAGACTTCTGGCGTTTTCAGTGCCCAAGCTACGCAGAGTACAACGCCGTCACCCTCCATTATCAGTCACGTACGTGATTTGCACGGCGAAGCCGAGCTGCTTAGTTCGACAGCGCGTCTCGCACTCTACCAGCGTGGTGACACCGACCAGGGGCTGGAGAAGCTCTCCGGGGCCCAGGCGGCAGCAGAAGCCCTTCCCTGGCGGCGGCACCGGATACAGACGGTCAGAGGAACGGCTGGAGTTAAGGCTGAAACAGACTCTTTTCGCGTTCAGGAAATCGCATGCGAGAGCCTATTCAAATACATTATAATTCTTCTCGCATCAATCGCTTGCGGGAGGTGCGTGCGATTGATGCGAGCGTGCTTCCATGTATTTGAATAGGCTCTCGCATGCGATTTCCTGACTGCGGAAAGAGTCTGTTTCAGGCTTTAGCCTGATGTTTGATACAACAGCGAGACTATGTGAAACCTACAAACAGTCACAGTATTGATATGGGCACCGACTGTAGGTTTCTCGAAATTTAGCGACATACTACAATCCAGAAAACATTTCTTCACGCAGGTCCAACAAATAATGCAGAGGGTGAAACAGACTCGGCAGTCAGGAAACCGGTAGCGAGTAGGTATTCAAATGCATTAGCTCTCGCTCGCTGCAATCGATCACAGGGAGTGCGTGCGAGCAATTGATGCGAGCGAGATCTTGTGCATTTGTATAGGGCTTGCATGCGATTAGCTGACTGCCGAAAGAGTCCATTTCAGCCATAACAAGTAGCGCACAAACTATTCCGATGTCTGCAAAACTCACCGGCCTCAGAGGCGGTGCCGGAGCCGGCGGCGAACACGCTCAGTGACGGCCGGGTGCTGGCGGCCGGCGTCGGCCGAGCGCTGGGGGTCTGCCCGCCACCTGCGGCCGCGAGCAGACGTAACATGCGGAGACCTGTACCCACCACACGGGAGTCGGATCACTGGCGACGGCCCGTGAGAGTAGGGCGAGGGGGCAGACGGGGGGGGGGGGGGGCGCAATGGGCAGAAACGAAACATGGGACTTCTTGTGAACGTTTGCGAGTGACACAGCACAATTTTGTGAAAATGAAAGCATAACAACAAATCAGCGTAAGATATCATCACCATGCAGTTTTAGCACACACAATGCTTACCGGACCCAGTCCTCAAAATGGCGTCGCCTGGCAAATGAAATACAATGATCAGTATGCGCTATGGTTAATTGGGCACTACCAGCCTAGCGGTAAAGTGGAAGCAAAAATTAATTACCAGTAAAACGCCTTTTGGGCGAAGAACGAGCGAGCGAGATAGTGAGCCCTGCACGTGCAGAAGGGCGAGAGGGTACTTCGAACGGGCTTGTGCAAAGCACCCTTCTAACCGGTCGCTAGCGGTGTGCCAAATTTGAACGCAATCGGCCCAGCCGTTCCTGATATATGGAAGCGGCATTCTGCACGTGCGCACGTGCAAACGGGGTCCAAAATGACTTTTGCACGGCACCCTACTAACCGGTCCCCAACCGTGTACCAAATTTCAGCGCAATCGGCCCAGCCGTTCTCGAGATCTGGAAACGCCCCCTGCACGTGCGCACGTGCAGTAGCACCCTAACCGCAACACATGGGAATTCATTGCCTGGTGGGTGCCTACCTGTATGCCCAGTTTCAGCGAAATCGCCCCAGTAATTACCGAGTTACTGAAATGGGAACAAATTTGGCACCTCTAATTGTTGTATTTTGCACGTGCAGGGGGAGTCACGCTATAAGTCCTATAAAAATGACCGCAAGACAATCGCTCAAGCCGCTGCTGAGATATGGGCCTCTCAAAATCATTACTTTTGCAAAACTGCTTGAACACCCTTGACTTTTCACGTGGCACGTGCCACGGCGGTCACTGAGATGTATCAAAAGTAGTCAATTACGGGGTAGAAGGGATGGGGCTACCCAGCAAAAAAGACCGCAGGCCATTCGGTCCAGCGGTTGCTGAGATATAAGCCTCTCAAAAGCGTTACAGGCCGGGCCGGGCCGGGCCGGGCCGCTCATACTGAGATTTTTCCGTTATATTGAAAAGACTTCGCTTCGCTCGCTGCGCTCGCTCGCTCGTAATCATCACTCTGCGCATTTGTCGATAAGGTATTTCGACACATTAGAATTGAGCGTGCAACAAGATACCACTTTTTTGGCAGGTTAGTTCTTATGCATATACCAACATGAATACAACAAAACAAATAGAGTATGACGAACACACTGGAAAGGATGACACCGTCATTTTTACAGCTACAAACGCCATGACCGCTAAGCGTTGACTACGTAAAGACTGACCTATTGAAACCACACCACTCACTAGTCGAACAATCCTATGCAGTTCAGATGGGACAGTTCATCTCACCTAAGCTGGAAAGACTGCTGGAGCTGATGTCGACACTCCTGAACCTGTTGTCCTGCTTCTCCGTCGATGAAACGTTGAGCCGATTGCGCAAAGCCTCGGTAACATTGGTACGGATTGTTTCGCCGTCTGGGAGCGTAAGTGATGCGTCAAAACACTTGCGGCGTGAAGTGTCGCTTGCCTTCACTGGTCCTTTACATTTTTTTTTTGTAAATGCAATCGGTTATGAATATTAGCTATCAGGTATTACGTTTACATGCATCCAAAAGCAATGACAGCATCCTACTCCACATAAATTCCGTATTACATCATAAGCTCCGCACTTTGAACAGTATCGGTCCCAGTTGGGCAGCGTCCTCTGTTTACATTTTTTTTGCGTCAACTTAGTGATAAATGAAACCTGCTTTTGGTCAGCAAATTCAGCGCATGTCGTGCTCTTTTCAAAATCTGACCTGACTATGACAAACATGTAAAGGGCAAAGGCATTTCTAAGTAAGCACATTTCATGCGTAGTAAAAGTAACCTTTGCCTATGCAGGGGCATCTACGCATCCTTCCTTCCACGCAGCCGCTTCCTAACACCCCTGACTCGTCCACTCTCCTGACTCCTGACTCTGTCGTCCCGGGTGACTCACCGCGGCCCTTCCTCAGCTCGCTGGAGTTCCTAGCACCGGTCGTGTCGGTCACGGAGCTGGAGTCAGTGCTGGTGCGACGCCTCACATCCTTCTCGACGATGAACGGCTTGGCTGCCGGGCGGCGGGAGGTCGGTAGGTCACCATATCGGACAAAGAACAGCGCTCAGTGTAAATTGTGGCGGAGGTTGAGAAGTCTGAGGTCACCGTGTCATTCGAAGCACAGCTGAGACGTTATCATTGCGCGCCTTAACACGCGCAGTGGAAGGGTTGCGAGTACTACGCCCAGTGGAAGGGGGGGCGGATGTCGCCCCCCCCCTAAGATCTCAGCTCCCACTGGAGCTAGAAAGACGAAATTTGGAGGGTAGGTGAAGGCCTTGGGGAACTCTGTTGGGTGTGAATTTCATGACCCTAGGTCAATATCTTCAAGGTCAAATGAGGTCAAATGTGGTCAAATCTGCCATATTAGCGACTTTTTTTTGCGCTTGCACGCCGATAACTCAAAAAGTTACCGGCCGATTTTCTTTTTTCTTTCACTATACCAAAGAACATACATTTGTGAGTATGTATGGTGAATTTCTAGTTAATCCAACAATAAATATGGCAGCTAGAAGCCTGCTAAGAGTAAGATATCGCCGGCTGAAGCGGGATCGGCCGACGCGGGAAACGCGGCAATCACAATTTTGTGTTTACACACTCATAACTCAAGTTGTTACCGGCCGATTTTCAAAATTCTTTGACCATAAGATTGCCTGTACATTTCTTAGTCTTCTCACAAAACTTCACGCGAATCGAATATAATCAGCGGTAAGGAGCGCGATGTAAAGACGGAGCCGTCCCGCCCCGGCACAGTCTACAATTCAGGCGGCGCGTAACGGCTAGCGCCGGCCGCCGCGCCGCCGCGGCGGCAGGATGTTTGACCTAACACCGCTGTTACTAGAAAAGTTGTGAACCGATTTTCTTATTTCTTGCACGAGAAGATCCGCAATTCAATTCTGGACAGGTAGCCTAAATTTCACATTAATATCATGTTTGCGGCGCGAGTTATTGGCGAAAAACAGGAGGGGTGGGCGAAATCCGCCCCCCCCCCCTTCCACTGCGCGTGTTAACCCATTAACCCATCCCCACATTCCGTAGAAACCATACCCTATAGAGATAAGTCCTCTGCAGTTTCACCCGTCTGGACTCGAAGAGAAGTGCTCACTGAAGAAGGCCACTTCTCCAAGAGACGCACTCGTCCGGGACACCCTCTTAGTTGATAGACGCTCTCACCCGACTCACCTGAAAGTCTTCTCCCCTGAAAGGTGCGCTCATCCGAGAAATGACCGTGTCTCACCTGTGTCGAAGCGCAGGAAGCAGCTCTTGGAGTTGAGGCAGCTCGCGGTGCAGGCTGAGGAGGCTCTCTGCAGACAGGCCGGCTGAGAGATGGACGCACAGCCGAACGAGCCGGTGCCGCCGCTACCCGGGACTCCGAGCCTGCCGGAACACACGGCGTACCATGAGTCAATAAGGCGAGGCTTCCTAAGCGAATCAGCACACCCGATACAGCAAAACGTAACGTCATGAAGGCATACCGACGCTGCTCTTCACTTTTTGGTACCGATGTAAGTCAAAATGCTGTTTCAACATAGCGACGGTCGTCTGATATTTCTTATTATATCGGAAAAGCAAACCCCTTATCGCTAACACTAATCGTCACACCTTCCCGAACACTGACTAGTGATAATCATAGATACGTCGATTCCCTACCCCGTGTAGATGGTGAACGGCCAGCGCGTCCCCTCCTGCGAGCAGATCCGCTGGGCGCTGGAGAAGGTGACGACGCCCGGACGGAGGAGGGTGCGCGGCACAGCACCGGCCAGCTCACAGCACACTCCGCCCGAGGGCAGCTCCGGCAGCGAGGGGACGCTGGCGGCACAGTCTGTGACCAGGCCGGCAGTCACTACTCAGTCATATGCGGCGCTTCAACTTTACTCTGATACACGACAGTCAGTTTATCGTAATGTGATATACGGCGGTGGCACTTCACTCAGACGCATGATGTGTGTGTCTCAGTGAATGCCGTGTGCTGAACACACTGCATATGCACTCTATCCACGCGCCGGTTACGCTATGTATTATATAAGTTGACCCGAAACATGCTGTGGGAACAAAAGGTGGTTATGAAACGTCATCAACAGATTGACTCGACAAAATCACCCCAAAATACCAGTGATGACGCATACGTACGGGCGAAGCTCTTCAGAGGCAAAAAGAAAAATAGCTCAGGTATTTACAGTGGCTGTTAGGCAGCAAAAAACGTTTGCGCTTGGCATTACAAAAGATAACATAACATCGCAATAACTGATAGATTACTTGGCCTTTAGATGTGCTAATCTATGAAAATACGTTACAAAGAGAAGTAGTGGAACATCTGCACAGCCGTTGGTAGAGGGACCTAGGGCCTAGGACCTGCGCCCTAGGTCGACAGCTTGGTCAGATATTGCGCGCAGTAGCGGATCTGACCGGTCCAGCAGACTCAGACCCGGCAGAAACGCACTGCTGAAGGCAGAGTTGAGCAGAAGGCACAAAGATCTGTGCCGAGTACTCAGCACAGTACCAGAGCAGCCGACTTACCATGGCCGCCCGGCGAGTCTCCCGCCCCCACTGTCACTCCGCGCCCCCCACCGCCCTGACCTGACCTGCCGGCAGGCACGGCCGGCGTGTGACTGACCTGGCGTCAGGACGGCTGCCAGCAGCAGGACAGTCGCCGCAGCGTTCCCCCGCGGCGCCATGGTCTCCGGCGACTGGGCTGGCGGCGCCGCCGGCCGCCGCCGTCACCGCCCCCGCGCCGTGCTGACCTTTGGGCCGGCAGCAGCGTGGGACAGCCAGCAGCGGCGGAGGACGGGGACGGACGGCCGCGAGTAACACACAGGCCAGGCGGGCAAAGATACGAACGGGATCGTGCAAAGTCGATCCACTGCCTGGTTACGGCCGTGACAAACAGCCAGCTTAGCCAAGTCAACAACCCACCATGTAGCGTCATCTCCTTCACAACTGCAAAATCTGTTACAAAAGAAGATGTATTTCTCGACCACAGCTCGCTGGCATTGTGCGGCTCCGGCTCGGCGTCCCGCTCGGTCAGCGCTGCCACCGGGGTGTTGCAGCGGCTACCGGAGGTGCGGCCCGCCTGTCAGCCAGCCGTCAGAGCCGGGGCCGCGGCCGACAGCGACTGACAGCACACGGGTCACGCGTCACAGGCCGGGAATCTCTGCAGCGCCAGCCGCCGCTGTCACACACCACAGCGAGCAGAGCGGACAGAACTAAAATGACAGTCCACAGCGGGACAGAGACAACGTCACTACTGGGTTAAACACAGCGCGGGCAGTTTACGCGTACAATCCGGGTCGCTACGAACTCACATCTAGACCGCTAACCACCTTGATATCAACACGGGGCCATTGAATTCAGCCGGCAGCTCAGCTTCATCCGCACCACGCGTCTAGATCAGTCCATATTTACAAACGGGTCCTCTGAGCCCTCTCCCGCACAACTGATGCCCTCTGTAGTACCACAGCCCAGTGCCTCCTACACAGAATGCAAGTCGTGCCTTCGTGCCTCCCCAGCTGACCGTCCCACCGCTATCGGCTCAGCTGAGCTCACGGCGCCGAGCTGTTCTTCAGCAGATGCTTATTTCGCTCCAGCATCTCCTTCTTCTTGTCGGCCATTCCCTTGGCGATGAACTTCTCCGTGTCCTCCAGAGTTTCGCCTTTCGGCGCAGAATCCTCGTTCGCATCCGAGTTTCCCCACTTTCCTGCCATCAGTTTTTCCACTTCCTCCGGCTTCATCTTAGCGGTGAGGTCTTCCTCGATTTTCTCTTTGGCCTCCTTGAGGCGGGCGAACATCTCGGCCGTGGCTGTCTCACCCTCTCGCAGCCGTCCCGGCGGACTGCGCCTCACAAAGTGAAACCGATCGTCACGACGGTGGTCACGGTGATGGTCGCGGAACCCGCCACGGAACCCACCGCGGAACCCGCCACGTCCGCCGCGGAAGTCGGGTCTGAACCCTCCGCGGCCCCTGCCGCGGAACATTCCGGGCACGTTGGCAAAGTTCGAGTACCGGCCGGGCACATAGTTGCCGGCCGTGCGGAACGTGGCGTCGTGGTAGCGATACGGCGAGCGCGACCGTGACCGACTGTACGAGCGGTGTCGGCTGCGGGAGCGGGAGTAGCGACGGCGACGGCTGCGGCTGCGCGAGCGACTGTAAGAGCGGCGACGGCGCCGGCTGCTGCGGCTACGGCTGCGGCTCCGCGACCGCGATCGCGAGCGACGCCCACGCGAACGAGATCGCGACCGAGACCGAGACCGAGATAGCGACCGAGACCGCGTGTAGGACCGAGACCGGGAGCGAGACTTGGAGTGGCGGCGTCCTCGGCCCGGCGATTCGCCCGGTCGGGAAGCAGCAGCAGCGCCGGGCGTCTTGGAGGTGCCGGCTGCCGCTGCAGCCGCAGCCACCGCCGCTCTCGCCGCCGCCTTCGCCACGTCCATTTTGGATATGGGCGTCTTCGTGCTAGGGGGCTGCAATGGGGAGTCTGAGGGTGGAAGCTCGGTGCCGGGCGGTAGGGGCTCCGGTGATGGGCCCTTCTTTTTGGCTCCCATCAGGTTGATCTTGAGGTCGGGTCTCTTGCCGACGGTGAATCCTTTCAGCTTGGCCTTTGCTTCGGTGGCGCGACCGGGTGCCTGGTACTCCTCAAAGATTGCCTTCATCTTGGAGACGCTGTCGTCTTGTTCGTCAAACTCCGTCTTGACGATACGCACGGAGCCGTCCTTTCGCTTCTTCACCTCTACATTCTCGTCACCCCTGAAACACGAAAACACACTCGTCAGATCTCCCTGAACCAACGGCTGCAAACAAAAAGCGTAAGAGGCGAAAAGAGATTTTTCAACCGAAACCGTGACATCAGTCATGATTCGCGATCGAACCCTGTCGCAAATTACCGTCGCTATTTGATCCCACTGGATCCCATCAAAGCCCGAACGATCCCACATCATTATGCCGCAGGCTGGTCAAATGACCCGTCGTGTCTCCCCCCTCCCCCTCGGTCTGTAAGCCACCCGATCCTGAGTAGCCCTGCTCACCAGCCGCCGCGCTTCCATTTGCCGTCCGTCTCTGATGAGGCGGCGTCCGCCTCCATCCTGACGACTCGCTCCGAAGAGTGTCGGTCCGCCGAGCCGTCCCTGCCCGACCTGCCGGCACGCAACAGACACGCTCAGACCGGTGCATACAACAGGCGGCGGCGGCATACTACTATACAGGGACACAGGAACTGTCATGGTCACATTAGGAGCAGACATACGGGCTGAAGGCAAAGTCACAAAAGGGCCGAGCACCAGATATTGAGGTCACATCCGCACCAGAGGCGTCTAGTTGAGATAGCAGTGTCTCAGCACCGGCCGCTCACCTGTGCGGCTCCGGCGAGTGGTCACTGCTGCTGGACGAACTGCGACTCCGGCCCTTCTTCTCCTTTCCCTTGTCTTTCTTCTTTTTCTTCTTCTTCTTCTCCTGCTTCTCCTTGAGCTTTTGCACCTGTTTACGTAGTAGCTCCAGCTCGGCCAGGTATTTTGAGTCGGGGGCCGGATTATCTTTATCTTCCGTCTTTCCATCTCTATCGTCTGTCGGCCTGGCGAAAGCGAGTTCCAAAACAGGGTAAATACAGAGGCCAGGTTACAAAACAAGACAGAAGCATCAGAAAAGACGCTGCAGCCTCTCCTATTTTATACAGCACCTTTTATATGGTACCGAAGGAACAAATAACAAACAGAAAAAGAGGGAAGAAGTCAAGGTCAGACAGAGACGCTTAGACAAACGCACAATTTACTTTTACAAGGAACTAACACAAAAACTAAAACAGACAGGCTCAAGGAACAGGCACAAGGAACAGACACGAAGAATCAGGCACAGACGAACTGACATAAAGAAAACAACAGACATTGTTGTGGTCAGCCAGGAGCGCATCACATGCTCTCACAGTCACTACCATGTCGTGCAAGGAAGCCGACTGGTAAATCCCTTCAGAATGCTGTAGGATGGGAGGTTCGGATTTGATCTACACTACACGGCCGTCCGCACAGGCGGCCGGCCGGCCGGCGGCGGTCTGAGCAGCCGGCTGGTCATTACTTGTGTGTCGGATGATCGAGCGGGCCGCTGGTAGCCTCCTCCGCTGCTGGCGAGCCGGCCTCGGCTTCCTCGTCCCTGGCGAGATGAGACAGCGCCGACTGTACAGCCCGCACCCGCGGCGGCGGACGAACCGAGCCGGCACACCGAACGGCACTGGGACAGCGCACAGACGGGACAGCGCCCACGCAGAACACAGAATGTCCAGACAACAGTCCACAAGAACTATTACTGAGACAGCTATCCAACGGGGTCTGGTACACCACACCGCGGATTGCAGGGGTCGAGAAAGCCGCACTAAAATGATAAAGAAGAGCAGACCAAAAATGCTGGCATCGAACAGAAGAACCACAGACGGGTACAATGGAACTATAGACAGCCATAAGCTAACATATGAAGTCCCGCACAGCTGCACCAGGAAATCACACATGAACCCACACCACAGGACAGAGCTAACAAACTCAAGGACAGTGACCGAGGAGCACAGACACAGGCGCTAAGGCCACCGTGACATCGCCATCACAAGGAAGGAGGCTGGCCATGGAAGGACCGCGCTCAGTGCTCACACAGTGTCTAGGATCCCACGCTGCCGAGACAGGCCACACTTAGCACCCTAAAAAAAGTCGACTGTGGACAAAAGCGTGCCAACGAATCCACGCAAGCATCACACAGTATCCATGCAAGCCCAGTCTATGAAGCCAATAGCCGGTTGTTATCTTTGGCTACCTGTCCCAGTAAACCTTACCGGACTAGACTGAGCTGAACAGTGTGCACTTACTCTCTGGTGCGAATACCACGGTCGTAACGCCAACTGTGCGAACGCGATTCGCGCGCAACTCCCAAAAACCCCCACAACACGAGCACACCCAAGCATGCCCCTCCCTGCCACCGTGAACGAACATACCCAATCACACCCCTCCCTCCAAACCGGACAAGCACACTCGAGGAGCACCCCCTACCCTCTCGTCGTCCCCACCCGGGCGTGCAGAGGGTGCCGTGCCGGGCACGGGCCACTCACTGTGTCGGGTCCGAGGGGTCGTAGTCGTCTACGAGAGGCTTCACAGCGTCCTTGATGGCCTCCTTAGCGTCTCCGCCGTACAGGAACTCGTCCTCCTCCGCAGTGCCCGGCGGCAGTGGCTCGGCACTCTCCACCGGCTTGGGATTCTCCGGTGCTTTGGGCTTGACCTCCACTTTGGCCGCTTCGGGCACACTCTCCTTGCTGTCCCAGCGACTCTTTTTCTTCTTTTCTTTGTCTTTCTTCTTGCCGCTGCCCTCTTCCTTGTCCTTGTCTTTCTTCTTATGGCGGTCTTCGTCTTTAGATTTTTTGGGTGTCACCTCGTCTTTATCCTTGGTTGAGTCTGGAGCAAAAGAATCGTGAAATAATTAGGCATTGCGAACCCTTCCTCGCTACTACAGGAATCATTGGTCCAAGACGTCATCTTTGACCTACTCAGCTCGTGATTACGTTATCATGTAACCAAACAAACCCGTTACATCGGACATGACAGATCTGCACACTGAAGGCGCCCGCTCGAGCCAGTCTGAGGAATCTCGAGGAAGGTGAGATGAATGTCGCAAGGACCACGGGGATGGCTCGAGGATTTAAGTGGCGGATATCAGTAATGTCATGAATGCGAGCTCGGAATGTTGATTGGTGGTTCGGAATGTGGAATGTGGTATTAAAACTGACAACAGCCTTTTGCAGTAAGTGTAAGGGAAGCTGACCTGAGAGTAATAATTAAACATATGAAAATGTCTCGGTTGAGTGATCTCACAAATCTATGCATCGAGGAGCCCTGGTGTCCCGATTCACATCACAAGGCTTAACCCGCGCGGGGCTGGGGGGGTAAATTTTACCCCCCCTCGCGAATTTTTGCGATATCTCAAAAACGGCGGCGCGCAGCGCCGCCAAACTTTCAGTACCTTTTCTTACATCAATTTGACACGTTCCCTGAAAATTTGAGCGAAATCCG